TCTCTCTCTCTCTCTTTCTCTCTCTCTCATATATATCCTGCTTCCAGTGTGGGCCTCTAGAAGAGGGTGAAAGTTGTACCTTGTGCAGTGCTATAATATGAGGGATAAGGGATACATTCCTAAAAGTCTTCTTGACCCCTGCAGGTGATTAGCTTATGTCCTAAAGCATGAGGTTTGAGTATTTTTGTTCCCCTTTGTATCACTGATTTTAGCTTGTAGAGCATTACATCAAATGTTAATTGTTTTGCAATTCTCCAGTGTAAATTTATGTACTCAGCTGATCAAAGGCTATCTTTCGTACTGAGTTTTCTGTTTTTCTGTTTTCTTTATCCTTCTTCCTCTATCAGACTTAAGAAACGTGTTTTTTGAAACATGGGTGAAACGGAACAGAGACCAACAGCTGGATCCCGGTTAGGAGCTCAGGAAAATGCTGGGATCAGTACATTGGAACATGGACAGAAACTGCCTATGACACCTCCAGGAAAACTTATCTCCATCAAAATCCAGATGCTGGATGATACCCAGGAAGTTTTTGATGTTCCGGTAAGAGTTTGAAAATGAAATGATCAGTCAGTGATTTTTTAAAAGTATTTTGTGAATTGAGTCTCCAAATACTGACTTTGTAGTTCATTGATGGCTAATTGATTTGAATTAATTGAAACAATTGCTCCTGTATCACCATTATTTGTATAGCTGTACTGTACTGTACAGCAGAGTAGCATTAAACAATTTAACAGATGGCTATCATTGCTCTCATAGTTATTTCTGTTTGAATAGCTTCAAAAACAGTTCAAAGCAGTAATATTTTCAAATGTTGTGATAGTGGTTTCTTCCCCATTGCTTCTGGTATTTTCATAAGTGCTGGGTGATAGTGCTGTGTATCTTGCTCTTTGTTCACCTAAACTATAGAGCTGTAGTGATGTTTTATTTCCTAAATTCTAGCAGTGGTGACTGCTACACGTATCAGATTTTTCATGAATTAAATTGCTACTAAAAATAACAAAATGTAAAAAAAATCTTTTATTGTATTCATATGCAAGGGAAAGGCCCAGAGAAATCCTAACCTAAGTTTCCTTTCCATGCATTAATTTTTGTAATTTATCTAAGTTGTATTTGATAAATGAGGAAATATGACGTGTGTGTGTGTGTGTGTGTGTGTGTGTG